GGCTGCAACTACTGTTCCCTTGCCAACGCGGACCAGTTCTTGGCCGGCTCTTCGATCTACTACGGCGAAAGGTGGAGGAACTTTGGCATCATTTTTGCTTTCATCGGGTTCAACGCCGCTATTGCTGTTCTCACTTACTACCTCTTCCGCGTTGCCAAGCTTAGCTCGTTTAAGAGCTTCTTCCATAAGAACAAGAAGGGTGCGAAGGCGAAGGGTACAGCAGATAAGGCACAGGAGGGTGCTAAGAAGGCGGCGCAGCAGGGTGGACACCCTGGTGAGAGGAGTGGGGAGAAGGATGCTGGTACTGCTTGAGCGTTTTGAAAAGTAGTCGTTGATGTTTTTTGAGCGATTTGTTTCTTTCTCTTTCGTATGCATAGATGCTTTGGGTTATATTGTTTAATCAGTAGTTAATATCAGATTTTGATCTTCAGTCATTCAGCCCGTGGTTTCTCGGTGAAAACGAGCAAAGTGAGTCCATCTCGAACGTGCCTGAAGTTTTCACACTCCAGTGGTAGTTGACAAGGCTGACAGTATCATCATAGAGATGATAAACGAGACGAAACAAGGAAGTGGTCTACCTTGCTGCTCGAGGGCGCGACGGCAACGCGTGAGGAAGGCGCAGGCGCCTGGGTCACGGGATCACGCGTCGTCGCTCTTTCCTCGACAGCCAACATTGCAGCCTGGTTTCCCATATGACGTGTGACGAAACGCGTACCCTCTTCTGATCTCATGTCGCGTTCTCTCGTCTTCACTTCCTCACTCACCTCCCGCAGCAAAAGTCAGCCCAGTCAACAGTTCTCTCCAGTAGTCCACCTTGACTGCTTGCTTCTATCAACCGCACAGCTTCAATTCTCTGTACGCAACTACTACAAGCATCGATCCTTCAAGATGGGTGCCTGGGGATACTGTAATTGACAAGCATACTTCAACCAAATACCTCATCGACTAACACCATGCCAGGTCTCTTCCAGTCAGACCACGACTTCGAAATCGTCGAAGCTCTCGATACTGAAGCCGGTCTCTTTCCACTCATGGAAGCCGCTCAGGCCAGGACTCGAGCTCAAGGCAAGTCTGAGGAAGAAGCAGGACGCTGCTGTGCATACAGCACCTACGCCCCCTACTGCTCTCACCCCAAACTCATCCGCAATCACCTCGACTCCGGTATCCTCGTCGACATGATCGCTACGAAGGAGGCGAAGATGCTCGCTGGTCCTGTCGGCCTCAAGGAGAAGTGGTTCGGAAACTGGGGACCGGATCCCACCTACGTCTACGTCCTTCTCGGTGCTTGTGCCATGACTCTCGGATGCAAGCTCCCCGCTGCCTACATCACCATGCTCAAGAAGGTCTACACTGAAGGTGGTCTCATGCCTGCTGCGCAGGGCCAGATGAAGAAGGCGCTTTTCGGTCCGAACGGCTACAAGAACGGAGTTCCTTACGACTTCGAATCCAAGAGCATCACCGAAGAGGCCAACGCTAGACCCTCTGAGCCCGACAACGGAATGGGTTTTCAGATGATGAATGTTCCTGGCCCAGGAGGTCTCTTCAGCACTGGCATGACAGATTCATCAACTTCGCTTGTCGTCAAGGAGCTCCGCGAGCAGTTCAACAAGCCGGACCTGTGCGGCGGATGTGGCGTCAAGGCTAAAGCTGGAGGTGACGCCCTGCTTGCTTGTGCCAAGTGCAAGAACCGCAAGTATTGCTCCACTGAGTGTCAGAAGAAGCACTGGAAGATTCACAAGAAGGTCTGCGAGCCTGCCGATGTCTTATTGTAAGCTGGTGGCTTCCACACGTAAGAGGGTTTTCGGGAGTGTGTGCGATGCATACGCAAGATGGTGCCACGGCTATGCCGGCGCATTTACAGGAGCAGAATGTGACAGTCACACGGCGAAGCAGTCTGACTCTCATCTGTTGTTACTAATTAATGTATGCGAAATGAGACGAAATACAATCACGACCCACAAGCTACATCCATGTAATCAAGAACATCGCTGCAGTGACTTGGGGAACATGGCCATAAGGAGACTATTGAGAAAGCAGTATTCATAACACATGGTGATTCGACAAGAAATACAACCCTCGTTGAACCCAACAGGATGCGCCCTTGACCAATATCTACTCTCACCATCCCACATCAACCCCATGACACTCTAACAATACCCAATAACCCACCCATCTAAACACCCACCCTCCAACAGATCAAGCATCTCGACCTTCCTTGCGAGACCTATCAACAGCATCCCTATTCACTCCATCCTACCAAGCAAACATGCACTTATTATTCAACAGCCTCGCCCCCAACATATCATACTCATACCGACTAATCCAGCCATCATTGCCATGCCCGCTCAACCGCCCAAACACACTCCCCCCCTTCCACGCCACAACCTGAGGATCAAAGTCCCTTGGCGGCGGCCCCACAAGAATCTCTTTACCATACCCAGGACGCAACTCACGGAGTCTCATCTCGAGGAACTCGCGTAGACCGGGTGTTTTGGAAGCCCCGCCAACGAGCATGATGCCGCCGAAGAAGTCGCGGAGCTTGCGGTCGTCGCCGCGGGCGCCGTGGGAGAGGGATTCTAGGATCGCGGCGTCGAGGGAGTGGATGGGGAGGATGGCGTCGCGGGCTTCGGCTAGCTTGGTCTTTTCGTGGATCGGGTCGCGGAAGAGGAGGGGGGCGCCGTCTGTGTCGCCCATGGGGGTGTCGCGGTCGGGGTTCGGCGTGTTGCTGCCTTCGGGGCCGGGTGAGCCTGCTACGGAGGAGCGGGGTGTGCCTTCGTTGTCGTTGAGGCGGCCGAGCAGGTTGAAGGGGTTTGGCTGGGGGCGTTGGGGGGTTGAGGCGGGTGCTGTGTTATTTACGGCTTCTGACGCGCCGTTGATGGTGGGCACCACGGGTTTGCCAGCTGCGGCTTCGATGATGGCGATTTGTGCTTGCGAGATGGGGTCGTTGGGTGAGCCGTCGTAGAGATCGACGGAGCGTGGCACGACCTTCCTCCTGTTCTCTAGTTTCCGGGCATTCTCGAAGATTGAAGGCTTGAAGAAACCCTAAATTTGTTAGCAAGGTCCATCTTACACAATTGTTGAGTTACTCACCATGACAGAAAGCATAGTCTCGTCGTACGTCTTGAAAGTGTACTTCCGCGTGTCTTGGCCCGAAGCGCGAAGGTGGAAGTCCCACGTTTGTACCGTGACCGAGCCTTCATCCATAGAGCAGAACTTCTGCTTCAGCTCCTCGGCAAGCAGGAAGTCGTATCTCCGCTTCAGGTTCATGTCGGCATACGGGAAATGACCGTAGAGCATCATCTTGATGAACGTTTCCGTCACATCAGCTCCGCCCATCTTGAGATTGACACGGGACTCCTCGGCACAAAGGCCCTCGTCAACGCAACAGATTGATGTCTTCTGAGCACCGATATCGACTACGCAGGCAACACCGTAGCCAGCACCGAATGTAGCCGAAAGCGACTCTTGCTGCAGGCAGACCTTTCCAAGGCCAAGATCCCGCATGAGGATGTCCAATATCATTGTGACGTATTGTCGCTCGTAGAGGTCTGGTATGATAAAGACGCACTTGTAGTTGACCAGGTCTTTTAACCTGGTAATACCAAGTTGATTCCGGAAAGCCTCTTCTAATATCTTGGAGAGATCATGGTAGATCTGATTACGGTCGCGATAGTCCTTCTCATTGAACGTGCCGTTCCGTATCGGCCAGAACAGCTTGTATCGTGGGTTGGATCTCTCGGGTATCCGCAGCGCGTCGTGCCCAGTGAAGAAGTCCGGTGCCTTCTTGGGATCTGCAGGCAGTTCTGTCCACTCGATGCGGTTGATGTCATTGTGTTCGGAGATGATGTCTGGGGGTGATTTTCGGTTGAAGTTGATTACGAGGTCTTTCGAGTTGGGTAGCACTCGTCGCTTGTTGGATCGCATCCTCGTCCTAAGTTCGGATGACATGGCCATGTACTGATCGGCAAACTGGTCGCAAGTTAGCACCACCCGTGGGACTAGAATTGGAATACTCACATCCTCTCCAAACCACTTCTCAGGCAGGGCATCCGCCGGCACGGCGCCTTCGACCTTCATTCGCTTGGGGCTAGGCTCTCCCTCATCCTCCTCGTCCTCACTCTCCTTCCATTTGCGCGCGATGACCATAGGCACAGTCTTCGGCAGCGCGTCCGAACCAAGGCCTATCCTCAAGTTCTGGCTGCCAGGATGTATCACAATGAGCTTGGAGATGTCGGTTCTTGATGCGAAGGAGACCTCGGCATCTTCCATTGTCTCGTCCGCAACCTGTGGTGTCGCTCCTTCCGTTGCTGGTACACCCAATGCGCGTGCGCGATCCTTATCCCTGGCTTCCTGTACTATGCGCGCCCTCTCTTCATCCTTGGGGTATCGTACGGCGAGGAACTGTTCGTCGCGCTTGAGGAACTCGGTGTAGTAGTTCTTTTGGTTGATCATGCCGACCTGGGGCCATGTCGTGAGGTCCATGTTGTTGTCCGTTCGCTCTAAACCTGCAGGCTTGTTAGTTGCCATGTTTGCGCTGTGATGTCCCGATGCCGTACCCTCTTCCCTCAATTGGGCTCTCCCCGATTTCTTTCCAACCATCTTGGCAATTTGTTCAGGTGTGGCTGGCGATTGAGAGGGTCGTGAAGTCGAGGTAGCCTTCGCAGGGTTACGTGAGCGTAGGCGGTGTCCGAATCTCGAAGGCGATCAATGCCGTCGTGTCGGCGGGATGGCTCTGGTGCGCGCACACCGATGTATGCTGGAAGAGTCGTGTTAGAGCCGTGCAATAGCGGAAGTCGACCGTGGGTGTAGCAGTCTTGGGAGAGGTTCGTTGGCGATGCCGCTCGTCTGAGTGGTGGTGAAGGCTAGCCTGAGGTTGTTCGTCGCGGTCGCGCGTCTGGTGATTGGATCGCGAAGCTACCTAGGTACGCGCACGACCCCTGGCCCTTAGAACCATCCATCACTTCCACCAGCTCGTCATCATTCCCACAACACTCGCGGCAATGGAGGCGATCGCTGAGAAGCACGCGGGCTTCATCTCCCGCCTGACGAAGCTTCTCGATCTCTTCGTCACGATGCGCTACATATCTCCATCTGATATCATTCGCCCACCTCACTCTTCCGAGACCGTCGCAACTTCCATCTTCGAGAAGATAGGCCTGAATTCTAAGGTCATTCAGTTGATTAGATTAATCCCTGCAATGCGCAGCGAAAACGTCGAAGGGTGGCAGTGGTTCGGGGTCGAACTGACCCCGCGCTCAAAAGCCGTGACATACTTCGCCGACTCCGGTGACACGGATTTCGTCGAGGATTTGCGGTGGGGTGAAAGGTACCATGACGAGAATACCAAGCTGCTGCCACCTCATATGCTGAGGTTGACAAGCGGTGATACGTACAGCGGGCATTACGGTACTGACTTGATCTATGATACACAGGACCGTATGTCAATTACTTGCAAGCAGATAGATTGAACGTTCACCGAATACAGAATCGATAATTGAGTGGTCTTCAGTTGGACCTGACCGCAACGAATGGGAGAAAGCATCTAGACGCCCAGCTGAGACCGTGCTTGATGAGATTATTGCAAAGTTCCAAAGCCTGGAATGGGTTCCGTATTACGATCCCCGAGAGGATGACGATCCTTCCCATCCACCCGCGCGCAAGATCTTGGAGGATCCCATTATCATGCAGAATCTTTTTCCGGGAGGCATTCGTCTTCCTACTGACACAACTGCCGCGATCCAGCATTTGAGGCAACAGAACGGCCCAGATGGTGCTGACTGGTTGCGACGGTATATTAATCGAGTAAGAGCGTGGCAAAAGATCTACCTCGATTGTGGATGGGGTTCAGGGGCATTTGACGGCGAAGCCTTCGAACTGAAGAGAGCAGAATTCATTGAAGCTTTAGAAGAGCTCGATGATTTGGAGTCGGAGGCACGCAATCGCCCGTGGCTTATTTCTATCGGCGCACAGCAGGTAGTCGGAGAAGATACTCCCACGTTGGAGCAGGTTACTCTACGGCTTGATCATTTCCTTGTGCAAGCTGCTGGAGAGCTCGCTGTTTGAAGTCGCTGCAGCCATCGCCGAGCCCATGCTGGTCCATGTCACTTGTAAATCAAGAAGTATTCATATAATCAAGTATTCATTTCCCTGTGACATCTCTATATGCTTCAGAGGGCCGTCACTTCGCCACTTCATGCAAGAAGATTCTGAACAGGTCTGCAGACTACACTCAGATACAGTAAGTAAACTAGAAAGACTTTTTGGTAATGCAGGCTCCATAGGGTTCAGTTTCTCCCTATGTTGACATGTCGTCATGACTTTGTACATATCGTGTCATTCGTGAAAACGTCTCACACATCCCATCGTAACACCATGGCACATGTTATCCAGAACTTCCATTTCTTACAGTACCATGCCGTTATCCAAGAGGAGTAGCTACGCTTCCCTAGATAAGCCAGGTAGCAGCCAGTACGCCGAAGAACAAGGCAATGAACGAGGCCCTATTATCTCCAGCCTGACCCTTCTTAGTCTCAGTGGCCGCAGCAGTTGTGGTGTCTGAGGCATGGGTAGTGCCCGAGGCATGGTCAGAGGCATGGCGGGTGACCGTGGAGGTAACAGTCATCGTGGACTCTTCGTCCCTCGCGTTCAGCGTGGGGAAGATGCCGGGGGTGTAGCTGATAGCGGTACCGTTCGCGAAAGGTGGAGCATGATGACCACCCGACGGTAAACTCGCCATCGAAGACGAGGAAGCAGCTGAAGATGTGGAATCTAACGCAGACGAGGAAGCCGCCGAAGACGTCGAAGGTGACCAAGACGTGGAAGCCACTGAAGACGAGCTGCTAACAGTATGGCTAGGGAACAGTCCAAACGATTTGCTCGTGCTAGATGGTCGCGGACCGACGGACGACACTATCGAAGGTAGCTCAATGCGAGACGCCGACGACGATCCGCTCGAGACATAGGAGGATTTGACATCGGTAGGGCGGACCGCGGTGAAAGACCAAGTGATGGACGGGGGAGGAAGAGATGACGACGTAGAGCTGGGAGCGACCTTGGTGACTGATCTAATGATGGTAACTTGGACGGTTGACTGGATGATCACGGTGGTAGTGGGCTCCTCTGCGGGAGGACCTCCAACGTCCGAAGTGGCTGAGACGGGTTTGTGGGGGATAGGCTGTACCGAAGGAGCAGCACCGACATTCGAGGTAGGAGCGGGAGCGGGAGCAACGCTAGAGGTCAGGCTCTGGTCTGCCGTCACAGTGGTTGTCCTGGTGGTAGTGACGGTGACAATCGACGGGCCTTCGGTCTTCTCGGGACACAGGTAGGTCAGAGTCGTCTCATAGCCACGTAGCATTACCGCGTCTGTGCAGAGCTTTGGGAGCTCGGCGCAGTTGTCGTCACGTGCAGCTACAGCATGAGCGAGAACGTGGTTGATAGCGGGACTCCATTGGGCAGACTCCGCGGCAGCGCCTGCTACATTTACGTTAGCAAGAATGATATAGTGGGTAAGTGCGCTGGTTGGAGACTATTTACCAGCAACTGCGACCATGGTGAGTGCGCGTACAGTGTTCATCTTGGAGTGTGAACGGTTGTATCGGAAGGAGCGACTGGGGTTGAAGTGGGTAGAGGGAAGTAGCGAGTGTGAGTAGCGAAAAGAATGTGGAATGGATCAAATACTTCAACGAGCGTGGTGAGGTGAGTGGAAGCTGATGATTGTAAAAGAGGTAAATGTTTTGTTGTTATGAGAGCGATTGCGGTCAACGGCACTAGCTCCATTGGCCCTTGAGCAGCCAATAGCGTCGAGGGCAATTACTGGGACGAGTGAATGGGAAATTGATGTGCGTTTGCACTTGCGCTTGCTCTGCTCTCCACTGCTGCTGGTGGGATCGCGCAAGTGACGTCATTTTCGTGAACCGATGTCGCTTTATAGAGGCGTTTACAGCTAGAGGCTGTTGGGGGCGGTGAATGAACGGATACGGTGAGGGAACAGAACATTTTGGTCTAGGATCACAAAGCTAAGTCCGAAGCCTGGCAACCACCCACCATCAGCACTAACAGGATACAGATCGTTCTGTGGCAACGAAGTATTTCCGTTTTGTAAAGAGGTCTCCTCAGTCCCCGTACAGCTCCATTAAGTGGTTCAGCATCTTCCGCTGTAATTCGAGAAGCTGCTCTTTTGATATCTTACCGCCCGCCGGCGTCGGCTGCGAGTCGGTGACTTCCGTCGGGTCGTAGCTAGAGCCAACTACCAGATGTGGCTTTACACCAAAGAATGGAACACCCAAGACTTTGAGTGATGATGTTTGTGAGTCGACCATAGCTTTGGAAGCTCGGTATACCTTGGCGTCATATTGATCTAGTTCCTCTTTCTCACGCTCTGGTGTCTGTGCCGCGTTAGTATTCAAAAACCGATACAAACGTATTAGAACATACACGAAGCGCCGGTGTGTTTTCCAAGAGACCTGGTAATGACCTGTGAAAGTCAGTCATGTATCATGAGAAAGATCTTGTAACGTACAGCGCAGCTCGATGAGTCCGTTCGTTCTCCCGCTTGAACTTGTGTTCATCAATCAGATTCTTGCGTCCAGCCTCCCAAGACTTGACATTTGACTCTTGATCTTTCATCAACTGAGCAATTTGTAAGCATTGCGCATGAGGTCACATGATGGTCTGGCTTACTTTGCGAACTGCAGGAGCAAAGTCTGGGTTCTGGGAAGCTATCTTGCTCACACAGCGGAGACCTTGTTTCCATTCCGTGATGGTAGAAGGATCGATGAACGGAGAAGAAACCCTGTCTTGTGGTATGGGAGGTGGTTGTCGATGTTGAGGAGGCGCGCGACCAGCCAGACGAGGGTCAGCTGATTGTTGATACGGAGCACTTTGCTGATTTGGATATGCCTGTTGAGGTTCCGGGTACCCCTGGTGACTTTGGTAGGGCTCGTATGGCTGTTGTTGATCTTGAATTGGCTGAGCTTCCGGTTTGGGCAGGTTCGCAAGCGTAGCCAAAATTTGTGCTAGATCCAGGTTCTGATTGACGTTTTCCGCCATATCTACGACAACAGCGCGACTGCACTATTTGATGGTGTTAAGGAGACTCTCCAATGCTAAGATGTCGGAAAAGTGGTGTGAATTGAAGGCGGGCACGTTGGATCATGGCGTGTGTTTGCGCTCAGATCAAGGACATTGCAAGGAAAGAAGCAATCTTTGGCCTGCACTGCTCATACTGAATTTTGCTGCCCTCTCGAATCAACGTATCAGCGAGCTCCCGATCCGCACACGAAGAAGATACGATAAGTAGTTCAGCGTTATGGTTGACGATGTACGTTAGCGGGCAGATGGGCGGAAATCTCCGCATCGAACCCTAGTCCATCTCGACTTTTGGAAATCATCGAATCATTCGTTCTCCCGCTCCGCCATCTTCACGACATCTTCCGCCCACAACACTTCCCCTCCGAGCGCTCTTCCCACTTCCGCCCAACATGTCGAAATCACCGAAAGAGTCAACGCGGTTTACAGCCACCGGAGTATGGGCGCACACAAGACCTGGCGGGCGGGCAACGACGCTGCAATTCGCGGATCCCGCACCAAAAAACGAAACGCCACAGCAGAAGGTCAAGCGGTTACGAGAGGCAGCGAACAGGGCAAAAATGGCGCAGGTGACGAGGTGGGATTACATGTACTTGTACGGCAGAATGGCGGCGGATGCGGCGCATAGGTTTACCGTCTATGGCTTGATATTTGCAACAGGTATGTGGGCACCAAGTGGCCAATGGCTGAACCGGTCACTGGGTAGGAATGATGCTAACTGTCTGAATAGGTTGCGTCGGTGTCCTCGCAGTCTTCTCAATAGGCGACATGATCGTCTACAACCGACGGAAACGAGCAATCTACTTCGCCGAAGAGGAACGAGTCCAGGCCAGGATCCTCGAAGCCGCCCGCAATGCTGTCGCAGCAGGAACAGCCTCACCCGCACAAGCCGCTCTTGTCACAGGTATCGCCGAGGAGCAAGAAGCAATGGAGAGGAAGAAGGCAGAGCGAAAGGCGCCCTCCAAGCTGCTGTGGTGGCTGCACGGCGACTGGAAGGAGGACCAAGCAATCGCAGAGCAGAGAAAGCTGGCGGTGGAGGAGATCAAGCGGCAAGAATCCCAAGGCAACTCAAACCTAGGTATCGCTGCTGCGGTACAAGAGGCCAGGGCGAACGACACAACATCCACTTTCACATCATCGACACCAGTAGTCGGAGGCCCGCTCGACAATACAGCAGAGAAGGCAGTGCACAAGGTGGAGGAGACGGGCAAGGGATGGTTTGGATTCATGAAGGGTGGATCGAAGAAAGAGTAGAAGAAGGACAGCGGAGAGTGAAGCCAGACGCTTCAGTGTACTATATACGACCTCAGCCTTGTACATTGCTGTCACATTAGATGTATGCATGATGGAGTTCTTCAGCAGTTATGAAGGAGTCAACGATCATCTCGGGTATCTTCGCTTCGTGTCCATATTGTACATTCAATGCATTTTCAAACGATTTCCAGTCTTGCAACTCGCTAATTCCCTTGACCAGCCACTGGTATATAGCTTCGCCGTTCTCGTGCACGCTGTTTCCAGTCAGTTTCCGACCAAGTCGGCCTCGCTCATCTACACGTACCTCTCTCCATCCCTCAACATAAGGCCGCAATGCCGCCCACCCCAAGAGCCCCACCGTCGCTCCAATGAAGACAAACACAACTGCCTGGTCTTTGGCAGAATCTCTCTGGAAGCATGTTGTAAGCACGTTCTCCTCTTTCTCTCCTGCGCAGACGCCATAACCTAGGCAGAATTGGCGGGTGCAATCGTTACATGTCTTTTTGGAGGCGCGGGGGTTCAATTCGAGGGCGGCGGGCTTCTTCGTGCTGGGCGCGTCGAGGGCTATGATGGTACTATTGCCTTTGCAGGTACATTTGCAGAACGACGTACGCGCTATGAGATGTCAATAAGTGCCTGAATACGAAGAAAAGGGTAACGTACAGGCTGCAAGGGACAGGGAGAGAGATGATAGAAAAGTAAGGAGAAGGAAGAGGAGGTATGGCGGTTTCCGCATCGTGGTGGCGACAAGGATAGATATTGTGTTGAATCTGTACAAGCGACGGATCAATTGCAGTGCCAACAAGATGTCAATCTGATGTGGTTCTAGACGTCTATCGCGCGAGGAACATGATAATGGTCACAGTGGAGCTCCAAACCTCCGCCCGCATACACGCTAAGACCAGACAGCTGGGTCCCTTGCCGCGCTAAGCATTTTCCTTTCCCCTCCGGCCCCGACACCTCTACACGACGCTTACAGGCGTCGCTCAAGTTCGTAGCCCGTATTATTTGCTCTAGACGCCCTGGAGTCTTTGCGCACAGTCATCTCCACCTGTCGCACGCGCGCGAACCTGCGACCCAATGCCAGCAGCACAAGCGCCTAACCCTTCCGAAGCGCAACCCGAAAGCAAGGTCGTCCGCCTGCACATTACGCCTTTCCGCCCCGACCTGCTCAAGGTCTACGTCGCGCCGTCTGTCCTCCCCTCTGCGCAGAATATCTCGTACCATACCGTCGCGACCTTCCCCGAGAAAGGTTTCGGCTACGTAGAGCTACCCGAACCCGAAGCTCAAAAGATCAAGAAGAAGCTCAACGGCACAATCCTGAGAGGCGCAAAAGTGCGGATAGAGATGGCGAAACCTGAGAAGCGCAAAGCTCTGGCAGAGGCTGACGCGGCGAAGGAGGTGGCGGATACCGAACGCCCCTCGAAGCGCGCGAAGAAGGAGAAAAAAGAAAAGAAGGAGAAGAAAGAGAAGAAGAAGAGGGAGCAGGGCGTGCTGGAAGGTGTAGAGCTGCCAGACGACAGGAAAGTCAAGCGCGGTTGGACTGAGCCGTCGAAGAAGGACAGGAAGGACAAGAAGGATAAGAAAGACAAAAAGGACAAGCGTGGCAAGGACGAGAAGAAGGAGCGGAAACCTTCCAAGTACACCAAGGATGCTGAGCTGCTCTTCAAGGCGAAGCTGACACCCGTGGCTGCGACCGAAGTTGCGCACAAGGACGAGAAGAAGGTGAAGAAGGAGAAAAAGGAAAAGAACAAGTCGAAGATAAATGAGGTGGTGGTTCACGAGTTCGAGAAGAACATCAAGACTCCCAGCTTCCTGAAGCAGCCACAGGTCGCCCTGTCAACGAAGCCTGCAGTCGACTACGTCAATGGTCAGGGCTGGGTTGACGAGGACGGTGTCGTTGTTGAGCCTGAGACTGGCAAGGCCAAGGCCAGGCGAGCTCTGGAGCTGGTAGACGCGCCCTCAGAGGCTCAAAGAGCCTGGATCGACGGAACAGGCAAATCCTCCACGCCTGCGACTACGAAGGATAAGAAGAACAAGAAGAAAGCTACTCCTCCGCCATCTGATTCTAAGTCCGAGGACGACGATTCATCAGTAGTTTCGTCTTCTTCTGAAGATGAGGACTCTTCCGACTCCGAGTCAGAGTCAGAATCAGAAGCCGAATCATCTGCATCTTCTCCCGCTCGACCTATCGAAAGTCGGAAAACGCCCGAGGTCCAACCAACTACATCGTCCGAGAAAGAGGTTCACCCCCTCGAAGCGCTTTTCAAACGCGCAAAGCCCGCAGATGGCGCAACCTCAACTCCCACCAAGAAGCTCACTCCAATCGACACATCCTTCAGCTTCTTCGACAACAACGAAGACACGATGGAAGTCGACGGCGAGCGCGGCCAGCCCATCGACGAGGCCCCCACTACCCCCTTCACTCAACGAGACATTGAATGGCGCGGCCTCCGCAGCGCGGCACCAACCCCCGACACCGCCGGCCTCGGCCGCCGCTTCTCCTTCGACTGGCGCAAGAATAGCCAAGAAGCCGACGACGACGAGGACATGGGCGACGTTGACTCCCTCGCCGAGCAACGCCTATCTCAGAATACGCGCGCAAATGCCAAAGCCAAGCTAGCTGAGGTCGCGGAAGAAGACGAAGAGGACGAGGAAGAGAATGCAGCGGCTGCTGGTGGTAAAGAAGAGAAGCCAGAGAGCGAGTTTAAAAAGTGGTTCTGGGAGAATCGGGGTGATTTGAATCGCGCGTGGAAGAAGAGGAGACGGGATGCGTTGAAGGCGAAGCGGCATAGTGAGAATAGGAAGATGACTGGTAGTAGGAGGGTTTAAAGATAGACTTAGAGGATTGTGATGGCATTGTTATTACGTTTGCGCTCTTCAAGATGTTTATGAATTCGGCGAGCTACGAGAAAGACAGAAAGAGGGAGGAAGTTATCTTTCTTCCATTCGTAAAACCAAGACAGGGAACTTGTCTCTGAATCAAGACCTCCACGTTATCGTACAGCCATCCCCCTCAAAGATCCAGTTCCCGTGTGTACGCCTCGAACCAGAACGCCTACCTCACATCTCTCCGTATAGCTAAACATCAACCCCCTTAAACATAACACACCTCCCACCCTCCCTATCTCCACCGACCCGACTACTCTTCCTCCCCTCCCCACCACACGCCTCCTCCGCCCTCGTCAGCAATGTCCCCTCTCTGACCATATCTAGAGCTTCAGACTCATGACCCTGGCTCGACGTCGTGGACGAGTCACTCGGTATGCTGCAGAAGGGGGCGCCTATCATGCCTTTCTCCGTTGCCGTGATGATGTCGGTGGGTATATGTGGGAGGGGTGGCCGTTGTGGTGCGGAGGATATGGTGGAGGGGTTGGAGGATGTGGGTGGGGGAGGGGAGGCGGATGCACGACGGTGGGACAAGGGATTATGCGCCGTTGTTGTTGTTGGTGCGTTCGATGGGGAAGCTGAGTATGCTGTTAGCATGTCGATACATAACTCTCCAAGTTTAGTTATTACATCGGCCGAGATATGTTATCCATGTACATACCATCGCTTCCGGAATCAACGTGTTGGCTACTCCTCCGCCTCTTCTCGAAACTACCAGTTAATTTATCGCGTAGATTGAATAGCCAATTCATATTGTACGACGGCTCTGAGAGTAGGTGTTCTGTTCCTGATTTCTTAACAAACATGATCGGTCTGGATATTGGATACAAGTTAAATCGTACCTGGTAGTAGTAACAGCAGCCTCGCGCAATGATATATATGCAATATCTCAGAATCCGTAAACTCAATAAATCAACCTCGAAACGCAGTCGAAAGTTGAATGCTCCACACTCTCAGTATATATCCCGACCCCGAAATACCCCGACCGATGCAGTCCCGCCCCCATTAAAGGCTGAAAGCTGTTCTGTTCCACCTTCAAACAAATGACGTATCGCGGGCGCCTTACTCTCACTCTTACTTGCTTATCTGCTTACCTTTCACGCCCCCATGCCCACGCCCGTGCCGTGGCGCCTCGTCCCTTCTACCACATCACATCACGTCACGTCACAACAAACGAGGCATTAAACACACCCAACCTCTCGCAAAATCACGCCACAAATGTATCCCGCACTTACGTATATCACGCCTGCCCCCTCTTCACATGCACACATCCCGCGCTGCTGATCTGCCGTCAGAAGGGGGACAACTAGATCGACGCTGGGATGCTGTTCCGTTAGGTGCATATCGTGAGGATCAGCGGCGTTAGTGTCTAGCCCTGGATGGATCTACGGACATCCCGTCATGGCCGTGTTGGGGGGAAAGAAGCAAAGTTTGTGATAAGGATGGTAATGGGCGGAGTAAAGGAGATTCGGGGTTGTTATCTTTGCGATCGCGTCAAAAGTAGTCTTTTGTTTAGCTTGATTGATTGATTGATTGATTGATTGATTGATTGATTGATTGATTGACTGATCGATGAGAATGGTTGAATTAGAATAAAATGTCCGCCCGTATGGATGCCGAATGGCATAGCATACCATGCCTGATCGCTCAAACTCCATGTCGACAAGTAAAGATATGGCGGAAACAACCCTGTTCCATTCCGTCGCACATGCAACGTGAGCCTGGCCTGCGCTACCAACACTCCTTCTCACTGATACCCTACGAACACATCTCCTTCACCCTATTCACAGCTTTATTAGGGGACCCCTGCTGTCTCATTAGCAGGTGCTTGCACAGTATCAGAAGCATTGCCAACCCCGCTGCTCTGCGACTGCGGTGCACCCCTCCGACCCCTCTGACCGTCAGCGGCGTCATTGCCGCCCCTGATCATGCGCTCCAGATCACGGATGCGCTGTTTCAAGGCCTCGTTTTCCTTTTTGACCTCCTCCAGCTCCGCCTTGTGTTGTGCCACCTCTTCGTAGCGTGGGGTGCTGACGACGCTCGAGCTGCGGTGGTCGCGCTGGGCAGCATCGCTCGCCGCAGGCTGGGAGGAGATGGAGTAACGGTGTGGAACGTGGCCTGGTGGTAGGCCGCTGCGGGAGACGCTCGAGGAGCTGCGGTGGCGGCGCGAGGATGTGGGATGCATAGGTCCGGTGGGAGCTTCAGCGTGTGCAACGGAGGAGTCGGCGGCGCTGGACATGGACGTGTTGGAGGCTACAGACGCAGAGTGTGCGCGCAGAGCCGAGAGTTCTCGCGTCAGACGGTTGACGACTGCTTCTTGCTCCTTCTCGAGCTCAAGGTGCAGCTCTGCTTGTGTCATAGGGCGCGGGTGTCTCATCGGAACGCCTGCTGAGTCGACGCTCGCCTGGACGTAGCCGCTCGCGCTGGGGCTGAGAGGCGGAAAGCCATGTACATGATGTGATGCTGACTGGGGCGGTGGTAAGGTACCGCCAGGCGATGCGAGAGGCAGCGGCGGGGGGCCCATCTGCGATGCTCGCCTAGAGCCCGGTGTCGATGCCTGACGTGACGATGTCTGGCGTGACAAGGAGCCTGAAGCTGGCTGCGTGCTCGAAGTGTTGCCTGTGTTGGTTGGCACCTTGTTCAGATCCGGAGCCATCGTGCTTGTCTGGGTGCGAGTCGCGCTGGGTGTGGTGGGCGTGGAGGCGTTGATGACCCGTAGGAGACGCTCTGTCTTGGAATGTTTATCGAAGAAGCAGCTGGTGACCAGTCGTGGAGGCGAGACTGATCTCAATTACTGGTCGTTGTTGTGGTGGTTCCGAGTACTTGGATGGGAGGAAAGTGCATCAGCGGAGCGCACGAGCGACCGAGAGGGGCAGGGACATTCACTTCATCGCGCCATGATCATTCCGGACGTGCTTGCTCCGAACGATGCGCTTTAACCGGAATTGCTTGTCAATCATCGTTTGGATGGTGTTGGTCGGACAGAAGCGAAGATTACGGCAGAGCAGCCATGTCCACTCAATGCGCTAGCATCTACCAGTCTGCTACGAAGGCTGAACCCTTGTTTCCCCACACGATGTGACGATGTCAAGCTGAAGCTACAAACATTCACACATCCACGTCGCGTCCACTTATTGATACGTATTTGAAATCTGCAAGTTTGTTTGGTATTCTTCAACTCATTGCTCGTTCGCTCATCCTGTCCATCCTCCGGCCCGCTCGTCGCGCACGGCGGGCGGTGTCCAGTCGTGGAAGATCGCGACCTGGACCCTATCTTCGCCTTCCCCATGCCTAAGCGTATCTTTAGATTTTGCAAACACGCTTTTGGATACCCATGAAATCCTCCAACTCCAAGCGCAATGCTCTATTGTGTGGGCCCCGAATGTGAATAGTCGCTCTCAGAAAACACTCGTGATCCTCTAGTACGTCCTGGCCAAGTTGCGGAGGTACCAGTCTACGAGCCTCCTGCCGACCTTTGCCTCTGAAACGTGGATGAGGTCCTGATAATCGTTAGCAGATGTCTCTCGTTCCAGATGTGTTGTACTTACACCCTCCATAGCATAGTCGAGGTCGCTGGCCTGGATGATATCACCATCCAACAGACCACCCTCGGCCCACCTTATTTGCCTGCTCCTCTGCTTGTTGACGAGCAACCAGCACCTGAGCTTCTCTGGCTCAACCTCCAAGAATCCAGCGAGCTTCTTGAGGTCCATGGTTGTGTAGAGCTTGAGGTAGCTCTTGACGGTGGGCGACATCATGTTGTTCTTGACCTCGTCCATGAAGATGCGGAGGTGGTGCTCAACAGGGTCAATGTTGACCTCTGGGTTGTCGAAGTCGGGAGGTGTGGGGCTGATGAACTTGGGGCAGGCAGTGCGGAAGAGCTCCTCAAAGAGAGGAAGGGACTCAGGGCCGCCGCGCTGCAGCCTGTTGAACTGCTCGCCGTACTTCTCCCTCAGAGCAGTGTGGATGGTGTCGTCGAGCCTCGTGGGCTGGAAGGCTACGCAGATGGCGACAAGTGCGTACATTTGGTCATTCTTCTTGGTAATCGAATCGTACTGCGCGTTCTTCTGGAAGTTCTTTGTCCGCGAGACGTAGACGAGGATGTGGCTGAACATGCGGATGGCATCCGAGTATCGTCGCATCATCATGTAGGAGAATCCGACGTAGTAGTATGTGGTGAAGTGGGCGGCCATGACACGGGCGAACATGGCCTTCTTGTTGAGCTCAATGTCGTCGAGCGTCTTGAGCGCGAGGCTGAAGTCTCCGAGCAGGCAGTGCACCCGGAGCAGACCGATGATGGAGAAGTATCCCAGCATCTTGTATAGCGGCCTGTTGCCGTATTCTCCAGCGTACAGACTCGCGTCCTCGCCCCGCTTCATCGCCGCCAGCTGCTCGCTGATCTGTGACCGCTGGATGAGCGAGTACAGGACGTTGAGGACGCTGTAGCAGCCCCATGTGTTTGGGTTCTCGCGCAGGAGCGCAATCTCCTCCTCGTTCTCGTTCTTCTGGGCGACTCGTTGGCGGTAGCTGCAGAAGCTGTTGAACTGGTAGATGAACTCGTCGATGACATCCCACGCCCAGTAGTACTATGCGCAATTAGCCCTGCTATATTCCCCTTTTTTCCGTATTCCTTACGTTTGGCACTTCCAGGTCAACGGGGCCCTCGGAGTTCAAGATGTAGTGGAAGAGGTTGCAGTAGCTGTCGTAACTCGCAAACTTGGTCTCTAGCGTGGCCTGGAATTCCAGGGGGGTGGCCGCAGCCTGCAGTTGCGCGTGGATGTCCTGGTTGCTGTTCATCGAGGGCATGCGGTCGAGGTCCTCCATGCCGTCGTATTGGACCTGCTCGCGGTAGTCGTTCGCCATGGCCTCCTCCTCGACGTCCGAGTCGTCGTCCGGCGCACGCCTGGCAGCGTCGCCATTCTGGTACTGCGGCGGGACACGCTCGCGCAGACTCATGTTGGGTGTTCGTTCGGGCGACGGCACGGGTGCTTGTACGGGGGGTGAATGTCGTGTCGTGGTGCTGCTCCCCGCTTTGTCACGAAATTTGGCGTTCTGTGCGTTTGCTAGCGGCAGTCTGCTATCGATAGCGCGCCCAAGCAGAGGGCAGGCGCGACCGGGATCAGCGCTGTGAGGGGCAGTGCGCAGAGGTCCACTCCACTCAATCCTCACGGCCATCCTGCTGTTTTGACACGTCCTGATTCGACTCACCGGCCATATCCTCAGCGCTGGGTGTCGTGACGGCGTTGAGAAAGTATGGCGAGCCCATGTCGTCTACCGGTGCCGGGTCCGTAGTTTCGCCCTAGGGCACGAGTAGCTGTGTGCATCAATAACGGAGGCTTTAGGCGCGCTCGGTGCCAGTATGATGTCTTCGCATCGAGTGTGGCTGATAAACTACAAAAGCCTGCCGTTCCTCTGTCCCTAGACCCTCTGGAAGCCACGCCGCTGTCAAAACCCTACTACTGTCTTTACCACCCACGCTACCCTTTTCGTCGCAGTCAAGACCCTTCCTGCCCTCTGACTCGCTTCCCACCCTCCAATATGACGTACACCATCGTCCTCTTCATCACGCGCAACCACGACCTTACCTCGGAAGAGTTCAGAGACCACTATGAGCACACGCACATTCCCCTCGCCCATTCGCTGCTCGCCTCCTGCTGGCCGATCGATTTCAAACGTCGCTATCTCGCGCGGATATCGCGGAAGGGGTTCGGAGGACCGGCAAATCCCGACCGACCGCCGCTGATGCTAAGGGGCGAGATGAACGAGCTGGACTGTGACTGCATTGCAGAAATGACGTTTGACAGCGAAGCCCGCTTCCAAGAATTCTACCGAAGAATCTACGCCCCGGAGAATGCAGCCAAGCTAGCAAGAGACGAGGAAAAGTTTTTGGAAACAGGGAAAACGAGGGTCATTGTCGTTGGCGAGACTTGGAGTACGGACGAACACGGCGTCTCGACGAGAGAAATAGGCTACATCCGCAAAGACGAGAGGTCCGACAGCGAAGCCAGTGGTAGTGGCCAGAGCTGAGATGAGAGACGGATGCCGACATGCGACCCGGAGATACCAGTCGACGCCCAGCATGCGATTGAGTCGAGGCATCTGCGTTAGGCGCAGGAAGATGGTGCCATGGTGGTTAATCGACCTTCTGGCCATAATGATCGGCGTTCAATAGTTTGGGAGAGGGGCTGGCGCTGCGCGCTACTAGGCACCCGTTCGCGCTGCGCGTAGGAGTTCACCGGTTGCTTCCGCGAACTTTTGTCAGATACCATGTCTTTGCGAATTTGCGACTTTTGGGCGCATTTGGAGGAGCCTGATGTTGGCCGAGAGTAGATTGAATTGACCAAATGGAATACATTTCGTTTATTGAACTTTACACCCTCGATCGAAACCCGCAGCAAAGAGTGTCCAGATCGAGACTAGTGCTTTCCCGAGTATACATCCTATACCTGTCGAACATGATGCTGAAGATGATACAAAGATATCACGTTGATGCGCCACATCCCCATTCAAGGCTTACCCTCTCCCGAATGCCTATAAACATAATGCCAATCCCCCCTCGCGATATCAGCCCTGACCTGATAATTACTCTCCGCATCCTCCAAGACCTGCATATCCAAATCAACAACACACATGCCCTCGCCTGCACCACCCAACTTTCCCAAAGCCCCCACAAAAGGCACAGCAACCTGACTCAACCCCGCATACCCTCCCCCCGGCGGACCCCCCGCATTCGCGAAAATAACCGCACACGTATTCTCAAACGCACGTGCCGTCAGCATACTATCCAGAAATAAGGCCTCCGCAGCCGGATTCCTCGCCAGACCCGCTTCGTTGCAATCGTTGAGCGTCCAAAATGTCGGTATGATAATAATCTGAGCGCCTTTCGCAATCAACTCACGGAACGCTTCTGGGAAGGCGAGATCCCAGCATATGAGCAATCCGACTTTTCCGATGGGCGTGTCGAAGACTTCGTGGGGGTCGTGGCGGGAACCGGTGAGGTGGTCGCGTTCGGGGCCCCAGAGGTTCTTTTTGATGTATTTGCCCACGATGGAACCGGAGGGGGAGATGTAGTAGCATACGTTGAGGAGTTTGTCTTCCGCTGCGGAGTTCTCTTTGTGGGATTCTACAATTGTGCCGGGAACGATGGCTGGGGTGGAGGTCATTAGGTATTGGGGATTTGTGTGGAGCAATGAGTGGTGGGACGGTCTTACAGATGTTACAGTCTTTGGCTAGGGAGCAGTATTTCTCTAGATAGCCGGAGCATTGTTCGATGCAGTTTAGGAACTCGGGGTTGTTTGGCTTCCAGCTTGTCAAGTGGTATTCGGGTAGGACAGCGAGTTTGGCGCCCTGAGCTGCTGCTGAGCGGATGAATGACACAGCTTTGTTGAAGTTGTGTTCTGGTTGTAGGGGCTAGTTAATGTTAGCCAATGACTCTGATGTTCGTAGATGTGGTCGCCCATGATGGGTAATTAAGATGATGTGGGGTAAATGAGATACCTCTGGGTAGAGTTGGATAACAGCGACTTTGATCGTCGGCGCCATCTTGATTCAACAAAGCTTGTCGATATAGATCAACTAAGTCAAGATGATGTCTGTAGTGAAGTTGTGATCTACGAAGTGAGGCTAATCAAAAGCGTATGACATAGCTGACGCATGCGCGTCGATACAAGACTAGTGCTCGCTAAAAGTGACAAGCTTTCTGTCCAGGGGGTGAGCATGTTCAAGCATCCCGGCAAAACGCTGATCATGGACGTCTCCTTCAAGCGTGGAATGATCGATGTGTTGCAAGTAGAATAATCATATTCCAGAGTAGCCGAGGGGTATCTATATAGGAAAAGAAGCATACTCCAACCAACACCTGTCGAGGGCTATGCGACACGACCTCCTCCTCGTAAACATATCCATATTATTATTCTGATCGCCATGCCTTCACTCATGGCTTCCTTCTGTTCGCATGAAGAATGTAGCTTGATAGGTGAAATATTCCTCAGCTTGCTTTGAAACGTACTGCAACGGAAATAAACTTGATCGAACGGAAAGGCCGAATCAAGTTACTGTGACTCCTCGCCGACCCCACGGAATGGGCCGAGCTCTGACGGGCGATGAGTCCCCATGGGCATTGTTCATGCTACTACGCTGTCAGCCCAATGGTAACCATCGACTTGCACGCCGTTGGTCCTGTACAACTCCTCTTCAGACTCTGACTCATCGTCGGAGCCGGTGTCCAGAAGAGCATACTGGTTGACCACAGGCGCAGGTTTCATAGGTATGCGAGTAACCGGAGTATGGGCCTTTTTGGGCTGAGGTAGCGGTCCAGCGCATTCGTCCGGATAGTACTCGATGCGCATGCCCTTGTATACAGTACGCGACATCATGCAGGTCCTGGCGAACAGAGCGTTGTGGATAGAGTTGGTCGAGATGTACGCATCGCCATTTTTGAAGTAGACGTCTACCACGATGAGGTTGTGGATGTGATCGAGATGGTCACGGATCTGATCTGTAGTGACTTTGCCTGCCACGCCTCGGACAACAAGGTTTCGCGTAGCGCCGCCGGCGATCTTGTTGGACACGTGCGGTGGTACGTGGAATTGTCGGTCGCTCCAACGGAATTCAAGCTGGCATGGTCAGCTTCTTTCATGCCTTGGGGTAGGTGCGTATCTCACCCTCTTCGTGTGCAGATATATGTCATTACGCTTAGCATAAGCAAGGAAGTCGGCCGCTCCTTCGATGAAGGACACCGTTGCAGATCGGTCATTGCGGAGGAATATGTCCAGCAGTCTGCCGCCACGAACAATGCCGGCCAGGTCCTTATGTGTCGTACGCTCAGAAAGGTTGGTGATTAGCACAGTGCGCTGATCGTGGAGCGGTATACGCTGGGCTAGTCCACGGTTTAGATCGTCATATTCGTCGGGTGGGCTGTCTGGGTCGCCGGTGAAAGACTCGGATTCCCCATAGCTGACGACTCGACGGAACGATGCTGAAGGTCTAGGGTGGAGTCCGTGGCTGGCAGAGGTGTAGTCGGACTCTTTTGGGTAGCGAGCTGACGTAGGCGCTGCTACAGGAGTAGCCTGAGATCTTGTATGTGTGTGTTGCGATTCATAATCGTAACTGGACGGTTCTTCGTTCGAAGCCCCATTCTCGCCCTGCAGCAGTGTATCCAAGGTTTCGTTCGTCAGGCCTCCACGGAATAGAGCGCTCTTGAGAAGGTCTAGACACGGTCAGAAAGGGATAGTATTGCGCTGGAGCAGCAGTGTACGTACGGTACTCTCGCACTGCTTGGGTCTATGGGCAAATGTATCGTTAGCATTTTTGCACCTACAAGCAGAAGCCAGAGCGAGCTGGAGGGCTGGTGGAGAAAGTTCGAAAGTTTAGAGTTATGTTGGGTGAACAAAACGTACCATGTACTCATGTTCTGCCTTGCTGATGGTGACATTGTCAGAGAGATCAGTGTCGTAGCTGACAGGCTGGTTGGAAGTATGCTGTTGATAAGAGTCAGCTCTACCGAAGCCAGACGCATAGCTACTGCCTGGGAGGTACCGACAGATTCAGCCCTAAAACTCTAATCAGCAAACAGCCCGGCGCATAACACAGTGCAAGATAGTGAGCACTCACTTGCGTAGAAGAGCGTCGAAATAGGATTTGCCTATGGTTACGGTGGCCATGGCATAGGTGAAGAAGAGCGCGGTGCTCGGGGCCGAGGATGGCTTCGCAACGTGCTTTCAGGGTGTTGATCAGTGAATTGGGCAGGCTATGGTAGTTATCAGTGACGGGCAGCAGGTCCAAGCTCGCCCTAGCGCTCCACAACTCCACAGGGCTGGGAAGGCGCCATGGATGGCCTTCCGCGACGCGACCCCGGATTGCTTATGCAGCCCTGTGCATCTATGTATACAGCATTATCAACGTCTATGTTTCTTTTTCTGCGTCGTTTACACAACCCCCTGATGGTGTGACGAAAATACGTCGACCAACCTTCCACGTTGCAAACAAGCGCTGTGCGACACCCATCGGTTGCGTGCGACATGGTGATAGGCACGAATGGGCGCGGCGTAGCGGCATCGATCCCCCGCTAGCGTCCATGGCGTATCAAATTTCTGGACAGGCGCGCCTCTCCGCCGCTCATGGAACCGAACACGCCTCAACACCAGCTGGCCAAGCAGATCGCTGCCGGCAATAGCAGCCCGGGTCTCAGCTCGCCCTGGTCGCAAATCACCGACAATCCCTTCTTCACCGCCGTATGATTCACCCTGGGGCCACTGCGTGCTTGCTGGACGTGTGCTCACTGATGCCATAGGGCTTCGGTCTCGCAGCGCTTGGGGTTGCGGCGCGGACGGGCCAGAAGGGACTCCAACACGGCGCCGCGTTTGTGCGCCGCCGCATGCTCGTCGATCTCGAAATAACTCGCCATGACGACGCCTATCCCTGGATCCTCCAATGGATGACCAACTACCACCGCGCACAGCAAGCCGGCACCAGGCCACTCGTGCGCAACGGCGTCCTCTCCAAGGTCCTCAATCGCATCGACCCGCGCATGCACCACCTCCAGGTGCAGACGTACACGCCGCAAGATGGGCCCTCGCACGCCGCCCACTTCTCCTTCGTACCGGGGCCGGGCAAGCACTTCTTGCGCTACAAGAACGCTTTCATCCTCGTCGACCGGCAGCGAGAGCGTAACAGCCTGAACGTCAAGGATGGCGTACCCTTCGAGACAATCAATCTCACGACCCTCTACTCGCACCGCGACGTCTTCGAAGACATCTTCGCCGAGGCGCACCAGATATACCAGCAGTCGCAGGAGGGCAAGACTGTCATATACAACTCCATGGGTACCATGTGGCAGCCCTTTGGCGACGCCAAGCGGAAGCGGCCCCTCGATTCGGTGGTCCTGGAGCGCGGTGTCAAGGAGCGCATTGTTGAGGATATGGAGGCTTTCATTGCATCACGCAAGTGGTACCTAGACCGCGGCATACCATACAGGCGAGGGTACTTGCTTTATGGGCCGCCAGGTACAGGAAAGAGCTCCTTCATCC